ATCCCTGACAAGGAGGTGAGCTCAGCCCAGCAAGGAGCCCAGAAACCAACACCTCTCCCTCAGGCCTCAGCCACCACCATCATTGGGGTGTCAGGTGATGAGCGCTTTCGCATCACCTATGAAGCAAGGCAATTGCTTCATTCAGTGCATTCTCAGGATGAGATTGTTGGATCAGTGTGCAAGGGCCTGCTGGTTGTGCCTGGCCAGTGGGCCAGGCTCAGCAACATCTCAGAGGGTGGCACTTGGCTGAAGACTGAGAGCTTCCAGGTTGGAGACAAGACTGTTGTCAGGAAGCAAGGAACCTCAGTTGGAAGGATCCTGGAGCCCTACAGGAAACTGAGGAAGAGCCACCCTGAGTTGATGTCCAAGCTTGAGGTGATGTCTCAGCCTGCCAGCAATGTGGACTCAGTGATCCTCACTTGGTCTATCCAAGCTCAGGCTGAGCAGTACCCATGCTCAATGTGGATGAGAGACTGCTTCAGCTCAGTGTTCACTGACTCAGCTGCTGAAGCCATGGCTTTGGCCAACCAGCTAAGCTGCCTTGTAGCTGAGAAATGCACTTCCAAGCTCCAGATCACTGACACAGACTTTTCCAAGCAGTTCAAGGCCCTGGTCAGGAGCAAGCTGACTGAGATGAGATCTGAGTGGCAGACTCAGATCAGAGATTCCCACTCAGTTTGGAAGGTTGGCCCAAAGGAGATTGTCACAGCAGTGGTTCATGCCCAGGAATTCCTCAGTGACAAGAATCTCAGAGACCAGTGGTCCTAAGGGCTGCTGTCAGGAATGGGTTGTTGGTTTACAGGCCAAACCCTCAGACAGGAAAGCTGGAGGAGCTGCTGTCTCAGAAATGGGCCCAGGAGTTGAAGCTTGAGATGGGCACTAAGAGGTACAAGCCTGAGTACCTCAGTGACAGACTCAAATGGCTCAACAGTGAAGGTGTGCAAGTAGATGCTGACTGGAATTTGAGCGAGGTGGCTAAGAGCATCACAGACCTTCAGGTATGGGACTATTTTCACCCTGAAGATGAAGATGAGACAGGAGAGCTTCAGATCACAGATGCCCTCAATGAGGATTTGGAGCTGGAGCTCCAAAACTCCTTGTCATTGAGGCTGAGTCCTGCATTGAGGCGAGCTGGCCTCAGGAGATTGGGCACCAAGCAGTACAAAGAAGCGAAGCTCTCAGAAAAGAAGAACCCCAAGCACAGGGCAGGTAGGGCTAAGCTGAGGAAAGCTCACAGGAGCAAGTTGGTAAAGGGTTTGGCTCTGAAGGTTCAGTCCCAGTCCAGAAGAGAAGCCTTAGCAGAGATCAAGCCTGCTGAAGCTCAGCAGAAGAAGAAGAAGGCTCAGAAACCTTCCCTGGTCTTGAAGGCAGCACTGAAGATGAAAGCAAGTGCCAAGACTAAGCCAAGCCTGCACTCCAAGCCCTCAGCTGTTGCAAAGGCAGAGAAGAAGATTGCTCTCAAGGCCAAAGCTGACAAGGAGCTGCGCGCAGCTGAGAAGATTGCTGCTGAGGAGGCACCACCCCTGCCACCCCCAGCAGAAGGCCCTCCAGCCAGTGAGGAAGATAGCCTTCTTCACACTGATGTTGTGGTGATCTCAGAGGCAGCTGGCAAGACCAGTTTTGGCAAGGTTGGCAACCTCATGTCCTTCTCTTCTTCCTCAGGAGCCTACACCTTGCTGAGTGACACTGGTGCATACCAGGTGATGCCTGAGTGGCTGGAACCCAAGGACAGCAAGCCTGCTGTCAAGCCAGTCCAGTGGCCCAAGTGGAGCCAGCTCAGCAAAAAGGACACCAAGCTCATCTTGACTCAGCTCAGCAGCAACCCTGAGGATCAGAGCTCCCTGCAGTTTGATGAATGGTCCTACCACACAGTCCTCCCATGCCCTCAGGATGTTGCTGAGGTTGAAGACCAGCACCTGTGGTTGGGCTGGGTTCTGCTGAGGTGGATGCTGAGCAAGAGCAACTTGCCAAGCTGTGAGGAGTTGGGGATCAACTGTGTTGATCCCATCCTCAGCAAGCTGCTGAATGATCAGGATGACCCCTATCAGCTAGCAGCCTTAGAGGCTGGTGTTCAGAGCTGCTGGCTTGAGTCCACCAAGGTTCTCTTAGTTCCCATCTATGCATCCTTCCACTGGACCCTGCTGGTGGCTAAGCGCGAAGGCCCTCAGCACCCCATAGCATGGACAAGGTATGACAGCCTCAGCCAAGAACATGCTGAGTCCCACCCTGTCCAGCTGAGAATGGGGAAGCTGCTGGATCCTCAGTTTGAGCTGCCACCTCTCAAGAATGTGGCCAAGCAGCCCATTGGCTCCAATGCCTGTGGCTGCTATGTGCTCCACTACATGGAGAGTGAGCTCAGAACCTTGAGGGGTGAATGGCTGTCAGTTTGGCCTGAGGCAGGTTGGAAAGCATGGAAGGAAAGGCTCAACAAAGCTTGTGGCAAGCTAGCCTCAGAGGCTGAGGCTTTGACTGAGGCAGTAAAGCAAGAGCAAAACAAGCTCTCCAAGCAGCAAGCTCAGGTGAAAGAGACCCTGGACAAGGCTCAGAGCAAGCTCAAGACCCTCAAGAATATCACCTCTGCAGCCTACTTGGCTGCTCAGGAGCTGGTGGATAAGAACTCAGTCACCTTCACATGGAAGAATTTGTCTGAGTCTGCTACTAAGTCTGTCTTAGCCTTAGAGGCTGCACTGGGCAGGTGTGCTAAGTGCAGGTGGCAGTCTGGTTGCTTGGCCTGTGACCCCTACAAGTGCCTCAGACACCACCTGCGCAAGGAAGCAGCTCAGGCCAAGAAGCAGGCCTTCCTCAGCCAAGGACTGGGGTTGTAATTAGTTAGTTAACATCTTGTTTGTGGTCTGTTTGTTTGTGTTTTGCTTTGCAGCTGGCTGCTTGCCTGGGAAGGGAGGGGGGAGTGCAGGTGGACAGGGTTCAGAAGGAATTCAATCCCTGATTTATTGGGTTTCCACTATAAAAATTTAGGGCCTAAATTTTTTTAGCATTATAGAGGTACCATTTTTCAAACAGGGGGGTCTGAATAATTTTGGAAAAATTTAGCATTATAGAGGCACCCTTTACTAATCGTGATCCAACATTAAAGAGCTCTCGATGACGCTCGATGCCGTTGGCTTCAAGAAGGATTGTGATATGGGCTGTGTTCCTGACAAGGTAATGAGGAAGCACAGCATATTGATCGGTCTCGGCGAGATCCCTGGATAGCGGCTGCCTGCCGTTGAAATGAGGTGTACGATTGATATCGCCGAAGTTGAGAAGCAGGACTGCTCAGTGGACTTGGCCGAACGATTGGGTATGGTGCCACATCAGACTGTTCGTCCCAATGTTGAGCAATCGAGGGAATGGAACGGCTCCTGTAGGTTGGATGGTTCGTGTAATGGTATTTGCTGACTCCTTCGAGTACAATTCGATCCATCGCGGCATAACCTGTTGAGCCGCCACCGAGAACAAGATCTTTGATTTCTTGCAAACGGTGCAATCGACCGACGTGACGGTCGTCAGGATGCCAACCCTCGGACTCGGCTGCGAAGGGAATCGTGAAATCAATTTCTGCAGTGATCTCTTCGCGCTCGTGCTCACCCAGCGGTGCCGGCATATCGGCGTCTGGGACGGTCGAACAGAGATAAATGCTGTTGCAGGAACAATGGTTACTTACATCGTGGTAGCAGTCAAGGCATGTTCCATGTCGACATGCTCTGCAGAAGAAGAGTACCTCAGCACTTGCACAGGTCAAACAGGTCATCTCATCTGGGCGATGATGGAACTTAGTTGGTGCTTTCTGTGCTTTCCTTGCATCGCTGATGACCTCCCGCGCCCGCGATGTCGCACGCTTCTTGGATGTTGCTTCGATGTACTTCGTTTCCGGAATATCGGAAAACGAAACCCTGCGACCCTCGGATGGAGTGCGGGCGGCTCCCGGCGCATGGTCAGCCTTCTTAAGGACAGTACGAGACGGGGTTCGTGACCGTGCACGGGAGGACCAGACCCTTGTGCTCTGCTTCTCTTCTTTCTTGACTGCTGCAGACGATGAGGCCGCTGCTGAAGGATCGTCCGGCATATCGGACTCTTCCTTCTTCACAGTGCCTTTCTTGACCCAGGTGCCTTTTTGGCATGCTTCCGCGAGGTCGTCCACCATGGCTGCGTCTAAATAACTTATGACCTGAACTTCATCATCGTCGTCTGCCGGAATGTCGGCATCGACCTCCATGTCGTCATCATCGTCTAGATTCTAGATCAATCAGGTCATCTCCCTCTTCCTCGGTCGTTTCCGACAACGAGCGCTTCTTAAGACGACGCATGTTAGTGGCTTCATCCTTCCAGTCGTCGTCGAGGGAGAGAAAATTCAGCCATGTCTCAGTGTGGATCTTGGACATGCCGTGGAGCTGATGGCGGTCAAGTTTCTCCTCGGCCTCCTCACGCCATGCCTCGACCTCGCGGATCTTAATATTCTTAAACGCAAGCCGCCTGGTTTCAGCCTTGAACTTATCGTGGCCTTTGCCTACCAGCCTCAGTACCTCACAATAGAGCTGAGAATAAAAACGCAAGTACGGCTCATCGGGGACTGACATGGCTGGAGTGGAGTCCGGGACATCCCACAGCTTAGTTGACACACAGCAATTGTTCCGGATGTCCCATGCAAGGCTGAAAAGACCGGCCGGAATAACGGCCTTGGTCAAAAAGTATCCATTCTTGCTCAGGCAAAAATCTTCCATGAGCTCTGGATGCTTTTCCAGCGTAGCCTTAGACAAGACGAGTATCACATTGGCCGTTGGTCGAATGTGTTCATAGGAGACCAAAAGTCCGTCGATCGGCAGGAAGTGGTTCATGTTACGCTGCTTGTTGCCGGCTGTACTGACGCCTCCGGGAAGGAGACCGTACTGCTTAATCGAGCGGACGCGGCGATACTCCGTCATGTGAACCAGCGTGTCCGGCATATCGGAGAGCTGGCACTTCGGGATCTTAAGGCCGGTTAATGGAGTTGCGGCGCCTCCCGAATGGCTGGAAACGGCTTGCACAAAAACATGAGCTGCCCTGTACTGCTTATATAATTGGGCCAGCTCCTTGCGATCCTCAGCCGTCATACCGGCTGGGTGGATCCACTGAGAAGGGTTACTAACAAACTTCTCACCCTTCTGATGATCGGAAGTGCTCAGAATGCCAACCTGGTACCTGCCTTTCTGATTATACATAATAGTGATGGCAAGCGGTAGCAGCAGGTTAATGCGCTCGGCAGATGCTTCACACCATGGCTGAATCTGAGCCTTTTGCACAGCCGGGAAGGCAGAGTCTTCCTTGGCATGGCAGGTGTGAGCCCAAACGCTGAGCATCTTCCTAAAACGAGCCCCGGCCATCAGCTCAAAAATTGAGAGCGACTGATCGGCATGGGTCCATCCGGAATGTCGGAGGAGCTCAACTCGCGGGAAATCTTATCGTAGAGCTCGCTCTCATAGATCCGGTTTAAGGCCTCTTCGCTGAACTTGAAAAATCCGGACCAAATCATCCACAAGCAGTAGACGAAGGCTGAGCTGACGCCGTACTCTGGCCGTTCGAACGCAGAGTCCATGGCGCTGGGGCGAGGACCGGCATCACGGGAATTGTCCTTACTCTTGCCCTTGCCGTTTCCGCCGGAATGTCGGCGTTCGGCGTCGCGGGACTCTGGTCGCTTACCCTTCCCGCCGGAATGTCGGCGTTCGGAAGTCTGGCTCGGTTTAATGCTCTCACGCGGTGTTAATTCGACCGCTGGCGCGCGCTCTTCACGAGATGGCGAGCGCTTGCCTTTTGATTTGCCTTTCGATTTATCCTGGCCGGAATGTCGGCCGCTGCCCTTACGGGATGCATCAGGCGACAAAGATGCGCGAACGACATCAATGAAGCGAGGTGCGGATGGTGCCGCCTCAGTCGGCGAATCGCTCTGACGCGAAAGACTCACACTGCGTCTGGACCGTAATACCGGTCGCGCAGTGGAGGGCTGGCTCGCTGATCGAGGCCTGGACTTGGCTGCCTGTGCCTGAGAAGGTGCAACTGGAGTCTCGGCAGCAGGTGCTGGAACTTTGCGGCCCATGATGATCAAAGAGACTAAATATGCTCAAGCTTGTCTTCGTCCGTAGTAGTGCGCTTGAACCAGAAAATGCAGTCGCAGACACAAATTTTCTTGAGACAAAAATTCACAAGAAAAATGTCATGAGGTATACATGAGTGAATACACACAGTCTGGTATGTCTTCAGCAAAGAATGTGAGAACAAACTGTGGATCCGGCAGGTTATTAATGACCCACTCAGTTATAAAAGCCTTGTGTTTCACAAGTGTACGGAAAGGTGGGTGTACATCAACCTGACGGAGTGTTCCTGTCTCTATGCTTCTTACAAGTTCGTCCGGTTTAGCGGTGTGTTTTGTTAAAGGATCAGCGAAACAGAATTCACTTGCGACGTGACTCAAGTCATCGATGTTGCCAGTGTTGCTCTCGTGTCTGAGCATCTGGACGAGGTGATGTGTTTCCTTTTGCTGTGCAGTGGTGACCAGGTTGTTTGCGTCTGTTCGCAGGTGGATAGGAAGAATCTGGCCACTGACATCAGCCCACAGCGCACGAAGAAAAAGACATGTGCCAAAACACCTCATCAAGGCTTGAAGTTCAGCAACAGTGGTGGACTGAGTAGTAGTAGTAATCTTATGACTCTCATAGTCTATGATAGTTCCACGTGTGGCTGAGCTATCTTTCTTCTCGGTATATCGAGAGTTATATGGCTGTCTTTCTTCAGCTAAATAGATGACATGTGCACGTTGACTGGACTTGTCACTGTTGTTTCGGTACGATGCATCAGGAAAGCCAAGGATGCGTTGGCTGCCCTTGAGAGGCCAGAATCGAGCATCTACATATTGGCTCTTCATCGTACGAACAACCTTGTTGATCTCACGAACGTCACCAATGGTCGGACTCGAAGCGGCGGACGCACATCTGGAGAACTTGTAACACAGGTGAACCTGCGTTCGACTCTGTAGCCAATTAAGCTGGCCTAAAACAGAACGATATGCTGTATGCATCTGAGGATTACAAGCAATGTTGTCCTTTAGATGTTTATCAAACTTGATTTCCTCTACAGCATCTACTGCAAGCTTTTGGTCACAAGAGATGTAAGGTCCTTGCTTATCATGAGTCTTCCACTTGATGCGTTGACCAACAAACATGATGTCATTCTTGTCTTCCGAGCCTACGTTAAAGTCCTTACGAATGCTGGCAAGCACTTTATCTGCAAAGACCTTGTCTCCGGCCATGAACAAGTCATCGACATGAAGACAAATGAAACCATGTGGTCTCCGGCCTTGTGCATTATTCTGTGCTACAGGATCCAGCAACAGCATCTTGGACAGGATCATTAGACGTAGACGTCTTCCGGAATGACTTGGACAACGATGTGTCTTGAGATGACATCTTGTCACCGTACAGGATATAGGTG